CCCCTGGCCAACTCGGCTCCCGCCGTCTTCAGGTCAGGACGGCCGAGCACCAGCCCCCCGCACCTCCACAGGTAGCTCCACTCGCAATGCCGGTGGCTCGCGGCTCCCCCGTGGACGGACTAAGCTCGAGTGTGTGTGTTGTGTCGTGGCACGGCGCGAGCGCCCTCGGCCTGCTTCCCAGCTCACCGCCATCACCCTGCCTAGAGATCTACTGATGGACGCACACAGACCCGGGCGCCGTCCAGAGGTGGGGGGTGAGGATTCAGCAGGGTGGGGGGCAGGACAGGCAGACTGACGAAAACCACGCTGAGGGGGCGGCGGGGAGACAGAGAGGCCTGCTGGGCCTGGGGCCCTCCCTGGCCGGGGTGGGACTCGCGCCGCAGCGGCCGCGGCCGGCATGGCGCTGCGCTCTAACCTGCTGCGCCCCGGCGAGGCCTCTCACCGTGACCACGGGGCGAGCTCGTGGCCACCGCAAAGGGCACCCGCAGTAACCGGGGTAAGAGGTGCGGAGAGGCAGTAGCTGAGCACTCACGTGCCCACCTCTGGCCCACTTATCTTTAAGGAAAACACCTTCCGTCTCCCCGCGGTCAGGGCCCCCTGCCAGGCTGCGTGGCGCCGCCAGCCCGTGGCCCAGGCCCAGCCAACCCTGCCCCCCGGGAGCCGGCCTGGCCCGCCACAGCCTCAGGCTCACGTGGCGGTCACACGCCGCTCGGGCTGCCTCGAGACACGTCAGGGTCCAGGCCCGTGTCAGCCCGCCCTCGCCCCAATCCGGCCCCAAGCTCCAGGCAGGGCAGCCCTGCCTCCCTCCCCTCCGTCCAGAGCCGCCTCTGCCCAGAAGGCCGTCCCTCGAGCCTCCTAGGGCACGCCCGGCCGCCGCCCACAGCTGGCCACCCGTCCCCGGGACACACCGCCACGCCGGCTCCGGGTGGGTGGGAGTCCTCTCCGCAGTGGGGGGCAGATGAGGCGCTTGGACAGAGCAGGACACCCAATAATAATTTATTTTTTATTGAAATTGTTTAATACTTCATATTACAGTAAATTTGATTGAAAAAAAAATGAGGAAAGAAATCAACTTTAAAAAATACACTCATGTTGAAATCAAATAAGCCAGCCAAGCTGAGTACAAACCGAGAATTCGGCAGGTGGTTTGCTTCCAGTATATAAACACCACCGAGGCTATGTACAGTCTAGAATGCAAGAAAAGTCATCTGCTAAACGCCGGGAGCAAGGCGCCCAGGCGCCCAGAGCGGGAGCGGGCAGCGGCCCCACGGCCCTGCAGGGGCCCGGCCGTCTCTGAGCACGCACCGTGCAAATTAAGGCTTCTTATAGGTCAATGGTTGATAAACACGTTTTTCTTCTTAAAAAAATAAGCACAGTAAAGGTGGTATCATGAGAACCTGAAGGCGAGACCTGTACCCCAAATCTGAAAGACGTCATCTCGCTGACACGTCAGCTCCACACGCGCTCACACACAGACACGCACGCACACACAGACAGATCAATCTTTGGGTGGTTGTCTGGATTCACCAGCTGGCGAAAAAAATACTGATAAATGTGCCGTGTACACCCGGACTGAGGATACATGCAGAGGCGGCGGCCGCGGCCGGGGGGCACACTGCCCCCGCCGGCGAGGGGGCGCAGGCGAGCGCTGGCTCGGGCGAGCGCCCCGCCGCCGCACGGAAAGAAAGCCGAGGGACAGAACGGAGTATTCTAACTGAGGGATACATGATTCGAGAGCGGTCTGAGATCTTACGCTCCGAGGAAAGCATCCTGCGCACCCACAGCCCGCGCCCGCCACCGGCAGCCGAGGCCCCGCGGCCAGGGAGAAGCTGCGGCGTTTTGTTTTGTTTTTTCCTTTTTTTCGCAAACCTGAGTAATTGTCAGAGTCAATAAATAGGAGAGAGAATTCAATGCTAACACAGAATGGTCAAATGCCCAGCAGGGCCTAAAGCAGCAAGGGTTTCCAAACGGCCCTCGGTCCCGACGCGCCCGGCCGCGCCTAGGGCAGCACCGGCACGCGGCCCCGCTCCCGGGGCCGCGGGCGCTCGGGACGGGCGAGCACCTGACCTCTCCCTCTCCCCCATCGCAAGAACGCTTCCCTTTTGAAACTGTTTCGTTAAAGGCAAAGTGACAGACGCATCGTGGAGTCGGAGTCTGGTCTGGTCGGCGGAGGTGTCTGGCTGTGCGGCGCCGGGAGGCTCAGATGTGCAGCAGGTCCTCGTCGCTGTCG